AATATTGAAACAGTGGGTATTTTTTATTATGGATAGATGTCAAAACAATAAGAAAAACTGACAGACTACTACAGCCATCTATATATGAATTAATATGGCCATCAGTAAATGGCAAGCGCTTTGAAATTTATACACCTGGTATATATATATATATATATATATATATATATATATATTGTTGTGCCCCATCCAGCGACGAAGCCAACAAAATGTAGGTTCTTCCTGCTGCTAAGTATCAAGCTGGTACCAGAATCTGAAATGGAATCAGTAAAACAGATGAAGACTTTTGATGTTGACGTTTATTTCATGATTCTTGTACACTTTACATATAACTCGAACACTGAACTTAAATATAACTCCATTGATTACTTTATATTACTCAAAATGACTGAATTTTATTATAACTGGATTACAACTGAACTATATTGATCTTAACCCATACTGATCTTGACCCATACTCATACTGACTCAAACTGACTGTTTATTGCATCATCCAGAACCTTAAATACTCCTTATCGGTATGACGCATTCCTTTTCTAGAATGTACGATATATGTGAGTCAGAAACTACGCTTTACTTGGTCGTCGGACACAGTTTGCGGTTTCAAAAGGAATTTTATCAACACTTGCAAGGTTACTGCAAGCTTACAATGTAACTATGAGCAATACTAATTGCGTCGTTCATATTGACTGTTACATCGATTTACAATATTATTTATAACTATTGTAAAGGGTGAATACCACTACAATATATATATATATATATATATATATATATATATATATATATATATATATATATATATATATATAATTATGGTGTTTGTGATTTAATAAACTAATTTTATTATATTTATTAATAAAATAATTAACAATGATAAACTTAAATAAACTTAATATTTAATTGATTTTAAAAGAATGAAAAAGCAAAAATTAGTTGTGAGTTTAGATCGCGACGATATGATTTGCCTACGCCGCGGCATCCGCGAGGAACAATGAAATGACAAAGTCGTGTCGTACTTATTTTAGAAATAAGTATCGGCTTTCGAAATTAATATCGCAAATAGAATAAAATTAATCGAAATATTCAATGATTATAAATTAGTATTTATTTTAGGAAAAAAGTATCGGCTTTAGAAATTAGAATCGGAAATAAAATAATTTTAATAGAAATACTTAGCGATTATGATGTAGTATTTATTTTAGAAAAACAAGTTTTGGCTTAAAAAATTAGAATCGTAAATCGAATGTCTTAATAAATTATTCAATCAAAGTTGGTTGCGTGACAATTTCGCAGAGTACAAGATTTTTGCATACAATATACAAAACTTATTATCGTTGATAAACATATGTTCTCGGGAAACAGAAATTATATTATCGACATACGTAATCTTAAACTCTAAATCTTTTATTAATTGTTAATAAGTGACTTCGAATTGGGCATTCATAAACATTTTCTTTAACAAAAACCATATCTCATTCGGCTTATCGCTTGTTTCATTTTCTATGATAGCGGTGCTGCCGCGACAAAAGAGAATGAGTGGGTTCATAAAATGCGGTCGAAGCTTTTGGCGGGATCAAAAAATATAGCTGATACTTTTTGAGTAGTATGGCGCAAAGTATCGATACCGCCAAAAGAATCGGCCCGAAGTATCGATTCCAAAAGTACTGAGGACCCGCGCATTGCTCGTCTGGGATTTTGATGAAATTTGGCGCAATGGTAGATTTTATGCCCAAACTGACCGTGGTAAAATATTAGAGGCCTATGAAAAGCGGTTTAATTATAAAAATTAAAGTTTGTATTTAAGCAGCGCACTGTACACATAGCATGGAGCGTTTTTTATTGTCAGCGGTATGTTGTCAGAGTGGTAACGTCGGTGAATTCTAATTTTTGCGTCTATGATCGAGAGTTCGAATCCTACTCAAGTTTTTTATTTTTTTTATTATTTTCATTTCATATTTATAACTGCATGAGTTAATAATATTAAAATTAATTCAAATTTTAAATTGATTTTATATTTTTCACTCAATTCTATAATAAAGTCGCGTTTCACATGTATACAAAATTGATGTGATACCACAAAAAATGGTGTAAAATATTGTAATTTCATATTAATAACAGCAATAATAAGAGTGAAAAAAATATAATTTCTTTGCATATAAACACTAATATAAGTTCTACAATTGACTGGATGATACTTATCGCAAAAACCAGATGAACATAAAAATAAATTGCAGTTTATTTCTACACACAGGTAAAGTTGTTTATTTAGAAAATAGAAAAATGTTACCAAATCAGGTAAATAGAAAAAGAATGAACTAAAAGGAAAAATGCATTCGAGATACATTCTCTGAATCATCATCAGTTATCTGCGTATGTTTTTCAAAAAATGATCCAATATGATTGGTTTGCAAGCAAATTGGCAAATATTAGAATTTTTCCAGAAACCATCGCTAGTGCAAAATGTTTATGCAACGCTGCCTAAATTTTTGAAATGTCCTTACTGAAATTTATTTTTATGTTTGTTATGTTTTTAAGTATCATCCAGTCAAATGTAAAACTTATATTCGTTTTTATATGCAAATAAATTATATTTTTTCACTCTTATTATTGTTGTTCTTAATATGAAATTATAATATTTTACATCCATTTTTCTGGTATCACATCAAATTTATATTCACCTTAAAGGGGACTTTATTATAGAATTTAATGAAAAATATAAAATCAATTTAAAATTTGAATTAGTTTTAATATTATTAGCTCATGCAGTTATAAATATGAAATAAAAATAATAAAAAAAAATGAAAACCTTGAGGGGGATTTGAACTCTCGACCATAGACGCAAAAATTACAGTTTACCGACATTACCACTCGGACAATCATCCGGACAATCATCCAATAAGAAACAACGCTCCATGCTATGTGTACAGTGCGCTGCTTAAACGCAAACTTTAATTAATTTTTATAATTAAACCGCTTTTAATAGGCCTCTAATTTTTTACCACGGTCAGTTAGGGTATAAAATCTACCATTGTGTCAAATTTCATCAAAATCCCAGACGAGCAACGCGCGGGTCCTTCTTGTCAGTACCGACGTCAAAGTATCGATACTTACTCAGTATCGATATTATCGTTCTAACACTAGACGCACAGTGCCGCGGCGGGAGCAACCTTTTAATGTTTTAGGATTTTTTTGCAATGGAAGTAATTCTAGAATATTTATGCATTTACATTTGTGTGGTATGCAAAGATAAAAGTAGCACTTGATTGTTATCCGTAAAATGGTAGAATGTACCACCAAATGAACGAAAATGTCTGTTCCTTAGCGCCGGACAGTAAATGCATTGATATTTCTTGTGAGAATTTACGTAACTTATTCTAATTATTTAATTTTGTTCTGTATGAGTGCTAACGATCACTACATATTTCCATTTTTTGTATTTCCTAGTCAAAGAATGAAAAGCTTATGATGAATGCACCAGCTAAGAGCATCGGTTAGCCCAGCCAAAAGGGTGAATGAATAATGGCTTTTTTGCAATATCTAAGAATATTCGTCAAACACACATATGCAGACATTCCAGAGTGTGGAGATGGCTACATATATGTGGTCGAAGCAGGTTATTTTGAAATGTCCGGTACTAGGTGCTACTTTTTAAAATCACATTTTTTGTTACCAAAGTTTGTTTTCTAACGTGCTATTTCGTTAATTTAGTTTGATTTCTAACATTGTTATCTAATAAAAGCCATAATTTAATAAACATTTCGTAAAATGTTTTTTGATTTATTTAACCTTAAGTGTCTGCCACTAGGGTACTTCCCCCTACTGATGCTATTGAGTTTACTGTAATTGGTTAATCAGTTTAGTTTTTTAAAAAAATAGCCAATTTTTTACTTATTTGTTCACAGGTCTGAAATGGATGGATTTCCCGTTCTTAAGAAAACGAATGAGTTAAATTTTAGGTATTATTGTATGCAACTCTTAATTACTTAAAATTGAATATCCACGTTGAATTTATTATTTATCGTTTATAAAAGTTAATTATAAATTCATTTTGCAAATAATTATATTTTCTTTGTCATTGGGTGTCTGTGCAATTTTCCAGTGATAAAGATGATGTATTCAGTCACCTAATGGTGTAAGTGCTAAATTATCGTACATCAATCAGAATATTTTCTCAGCGTGGCTTTCTTCACAACAAACTAAATACTACTAATAAGGTCCGATGTTAATGGTAAAGATGTTAAATACGTCTCGAAATAACAGATACTGCGCCAATGCGGATAAAAGTTGATTCTTAAAATTATTAAAAAAATAGTTCCAATCTCAAATGTTTAAAATACTGATAAATTATAATTTATATTATTCAATTATTTTCTCTGTTTAATGTTGTATTCGCGCAGATTCAATTTTATAACTATATTATAAAAAAGTAAATTATGAAGGATTGTAACATTTTTATCATAAAGCAATAAAAATAATTTCCACTTTGGTATATTTTTAATGAGATCTCGGCCATAAAATCAGGTACAAAGTTGAAAATTGGTATATCGGATTTTTTGAAAGGACCTTTGAAATGGCGTATAAAATATTTGAATATTCGGGTGGGGCCAATTCTGTACGGCAATGCGCCCATGCCCATGAAAAATTGAGTTATAATCCTAGGGCATGCAAAGCGTGTTCGTTTTTCTTTCAATAATATATCATTTATTAATATCATTTTTAAACTAATTGTCACAAATAGTAAATATGTTTTGCACAAAATTGATTGAACATCCAACGCCAAACAAAAACTAGGTATACTTAAAAATTATTCATAAATTAATATATTGATTTCTTACTGATTTAGTCGATTATTTGCACATTCAGGAATTTTGATGCAAATTGCCCCAAGGCCAAATACCAGTAAACCCTAGTGTATTAGTTAGTGTTTATATAACGTGATTCGACCGCTGTGATTTGTACCAATTCTGAGTTTTCAGTTAATGATTATGTATTTTTAGCGTAGTGATGGATCATACCAACACGGTTCTCCAGCCCTTGCCCATACATATCATCCAAATTACTACACCGCTCAGGCGATCAAGGAACCAGGAATTTTTACTTCTTTATCAAGCAGTTTGAATAATTTCGTTTCAAACATATTCGGCTAATTCACAAGAAATCAACAAATTTTTTTCAGATACTAAAAAATAATTTATGTAGTTTAATTGTGAGCATTTCTCAGTAAATTATTATATTCACCAAATGTTAATTTAGCATTAAATGAAATTTAATATTTTATATAAATTTAAGTGGAATATTTATAGTTTCAAATTTATTTTAAGCTCGTATTGTATTGCAATGTAATATTTTGTGATGTAATTTTTTTTATAATTAAATACTACATCATAATATATATATATATATATATATATATATATATATATATATATATATATATATATATATATATATATATATATATATATATCATGAAAGTTTTGTCGACGTTGATACATATTTGTAAAATTGTTTGCAGCTCAACCGTCACTTGTGTATTTATGTTAAATGTTTTTTTAGATTACTGAATGATGACACACATCAAGTGTCGAAACGTATAATGGAATAAATAATTTTGTTATTTAATCTTTTTTTAATTCGACGGTTGGGCTGCAAAAAATTTTACAAATATATATATATATATATATATATATATATATATTATATATTTATATGTAGTATTTTGCAGCCCAATCGTCGAATTATATATATATATATATATATATATATATATATATATAGTAATGTGTTGTCTCGAAAATTTCCTGATTCAAATGATTCGAATCAGAAAAAACCTGATTAAAATCATCTTTCGAATCAAGCCTATAAACAAAGCTAAGAAAACAAAAATCTCTCTTATGATGTATGTAGTAAATGAGATAAAAATGAATATCATTATTATTTTTATTCAGTACTATATTTACAACTGTCCAGTTAAGGACATTGAGCAAATTTGTTAATTTACAATTGTCAGCCGTATAAGTGACATTGTATCATAGTGACATGTTGGAAAAACAGCTCAATAGTTGTTTTTCCATTCGTTATAAATAATATTAATAATATTTTAATAATAATGTAAACTTCAATATTTTCTTATAAATAATAACTAATAAATATCATCTTATAAATAATAACAGTCTTCATCAGGAAAATTGATGACTTGTATTGCAATGTAATATTTTGTGATGTAATTTTTTTTATAATAAATTACTACATCATATATATATATATATATATATATATATATATATATATATATATATCATGAAAGTTTTGTCGACGTTGATACATATTTGTAAAATTGTTTGCAGCTCAACCGTCACTTGTGTATTTATGTTAAATGTTTTTTTAGATTACTGAATGATGACACAATCAAGTGTCGAAACGTATAATGGAATAAATAATTTTGTTATTTAATCTTTTTTTAATTCGACGGTGGGCTGCAAAAATTTTACAAAATATATATATATATATATATATATATATATATATATATATATATATATTTATATGTAGTATTTTGCAGCCCAATCGTCGAGTCGATATATATATATATATATATATATATATATATATATATATATAGTGTGTTGTCTCGAAAATTTCCTGATTCAAATGATTCGAATCAGAAAAAACCTGATTAAAATCATCTTTCGAATCAAGCCTATAAACAAAGCTAAGACAAAAAAATCTCTCTTATGATGTATGTAGTAAATGAGATAAAAATGAATATCATTATTATTTTTATTCAGTACTATATTTACAACTGTCCAGTTAAGGACATTGAGCAAATTTGTTAATTTACAATTGTCAGCCGTATAAGTGACATTGTATCATAGTGACATGTTGGAAAAACAGCTCAATAGTTGTTTTTCCATTCGTTATAAATAATATTAATAATATTTTAATAATAATGTAAACTTCAATATTTTCTTATAAATAATAACTAATAAATATCATCTTATAAATAATAACAGTCTTCATCAGGAAAATTGATGACTTAAATCAAGTGGCAAATTTCTCTTCAGTCTACGACGATAACTTTCATTAAGCAACGTGTTTGCTAGTGCATAGATAAAAAATTATTATCAAATTTTTTGAGTTTAGTCAATGTACTAAAAACACAAATTCATAATCAAAATTAAGTGTGATAATATCTAATAAGGAAACACAATAAATTCAATAAGGCTGTTGTATCCGGTTATCTGTTCAAAATTTAGCATCTCGAATGATTCGATTAAATTCGTGTCTTCAAATCTTTTTTTCATTTTTATATTTCATTTTTATATTTATATTTATTAAAATTGTTATTTTTTATATTTTTTGAAATATATGTTCATAAATATTGTGTCACAGTAAATTTACTCGTATATCGGCTTGATAGGAGTTGATTCGAACCCAGTAAAATGTGATTCGAATCAGAATATCAAGGGCTTAATATAAAAATATTATTCGAATCACTAGATTCGAGTTGACACTCAATATAATATATATATATATATATATATATATATATATATATATATATATGATTTAGTAGTTAATTTTGATGTTGGAAATATATGAGTGAGTTCTTGAGGGGTACATCAAACAAAGAAATGCAAAGACTTATAAAATAATCTTTAATTCCAAACGTTTCGACATTCAATTTAATGTCATCATCAGTGGATCTAAAAACAGTATGAAAATTAGTATATCTAGGTAATTATAATATATGGGGATTGGTATAGTAACTATACAATAAGAGAAAAATTTTTTTTGTAGACAATGTTGGAAGTACGTTCTATGCTGGTGGGAGATTTCAGGTTTGTGTAGAGGGATTTAAGAGTTAGATCTATGTTGCAGGTTAGTCTGATGTCTACCTTATGAAAAAGTTTTTTCCACACTGGAAAAAGTTCTTTTACGTAAGGTGAACAAACGTTGCCTACATAGTTATTGTCTTTAGAATTTTTTCTGGGGAACGAAGAATGCATACTGTTGAGGGTTTTAAGTCTGTTGGAGGTGACGGAGTTGATGAGGTGCGGTGGATATGAGTTGTTAATTAAAGTTGTGCGGATGAGGGATAAGTTAGAGGGCCAAAATTGTTTGTCTGAGAGTAGGATGGCATGGTCGACTAAATTAATAATAGTGCCTATCTTCATGCTAGAAGGGTGGTAAGAATGATAATTTAATACCTACCCGACCAAGTAGGTTTTTGGAACCAATTAGTGATAATTCGATTGTCTGTGGTTTTTTATAATTTTTACGTCTAAAAAGCTGATAGAATTTTTCTTGTTCTTTTTCAAACGTAAGGGAGATGCTCATTAAATGAGTTAAAACTATGAAGTAAGATTTCGAAATTTTTAACAGAAACACAGGTAAGGATGTCATCAACGTATCTGTAATAAAAATGAAGGTCTAGATTGTAGGAATTAAAAACTTTCAACTCTAAGTGTTGTAAAGCAATTTCTGCGAGTGACGGAGATATAGGAGAACCCATAGGTGTGCCAAATATTTGAAGGTAAAAATGGTCGTTGAATTCGAAATAAGTATTCGAAACTATGAATTTTATGGACTCGAGAAACCAAGTCTCTACCACCTTTCCTATCTTTTATATTTGGTTTGTTGTTAAGTGTTGCTGTTTGTTAATTTTTCTCTTATTGTATAGTTACTTTACCAATCCACATATATTATAATTACCTAGATATACTAATTTTCATACTGTTTTTAGATCTACTGATGATGACATTAAATTGCATGTCGAAACGTTTGGAAATAAAGATTATTTTATAAATCTTTGGCTTTTCTTTGTTTGATGTATCGCCCTCAAGAACTCACTCACATATTTCAACATCAAAACTAACTACTAAATCATATATATATATATATATATATATATATATATATATATATATATATATATATATATATAGTATATTATTAAATTTATTTAAATGAACTGAAACCGTGATATTGGTATGAAGTAATATTTTGTTCTAATTTTATATTATTGTAGCAAAGTGAAATATGAAATTATTAGGTATTAAGCATATGGCAATATTATATCCGTGCAATTATAAATATAATTTATTGAAAGAATAAAACTTTATTGTAAAATATTTTATAACAAGTTGAATATTGAAGTATTGATAAAGGATAATTTGTTAATTTGTTATATACATTATACCACTTTTCAAATGAATATCACTGCCTAAGAATATAATATACAATATTCTGTGATGTATTTTATTAGTAATGATTGAATACTGTCATAAAATAATAATATTGTTACTTTTATAAATATAATATGTACGTTGTAATTTCTATTACTCTTCAAATTATTTTAACGTTACAAAATTGTAGTTTTGATTGTCTATAATTTATACGGAGTATCTGTGTATATAAAAGAGTATGTAGTCTCTAAATTAAAATGAAACAAAAACTTGTGGTGTGTATGGCATCGTGCCTTAAGGCAAATTGCTGGAACTTCCCGTACCGTAACGAAATGTTCGAGGAATATTAAATGTTTTCAAATAGATTATTATAAATAAACTAGTGGTTTGTATGGCATCGTACCTTAAGGCAAATTGCTGGAACTTCCCGTACCGTAACGAAATGTTTTCAAAATAGATTATTATAAATAAATACTGTAACATTGTTTAATATTTATAGGAATTATATAAACTGAATTGCAAAGTGGAAAATATTTGTTTAAAGTATATGAGAACTTAAGTCAGAATAACAATTAATATCTGAAATATTTTCGAAGTACAAAAAAAAAATTATTGAAAAAAAAGTTTTTTGAAAAAAAAATTGAAACAAAAAATTTGTTTTTCCAAAAGCAATTATTTTGTTAATACAATCAGAAAGATCTTTGAATCATTCAAATCGAACTCTTAGTTCTCTCAAAAACTGCCATTTTCTTTACATTTACCTCTGTGTTTCCGAAACCGCTGGACCTGCCTTTGCCAAAAACTAATCACCACTTCTCCCCGTCATTACGAATTGAATGTTTTTTGGATCAGATTCTTTGCTCCGTATCTCCGAAACGGCTGGACCTGCCTTTGCCAAAAACTATTCAGCACATCTCCCTATCAATAGGAATCGAATGTTTTTTAAACCATTCAAATCG